TTGCTATTGCTATTGCTATTGCTATTGCTATTAAGGTTAGGTTTAGGGTTAGGCTTAGAGCGCGCTTCTGTCGGCGCGCTGTTGTCGGTGCGCTTCAGCGCTCATTCGTCAGCACAGTTTAGAACTCACAGTTTTGTCACCGCGGTTTCGTCGGGCGCCCTTTTGTCGGGTGCCCTTTTGTCGGTGAAACGGGATTTTGCAGTATCCTTCCCCTAGAGTCGGAAGGCAATGGGGATTTTGCAGTATCCTTCCCCTGGAATGGGGAGGGAATGGAATTTTTACAGTATCCTTCCCCTGGAGTGGGGAGTGGGGATTTTGCAGTATCCTTTCCCTGGAGTGGGGAGGGAATGGAGATTTTACAGTATCCTTTCCCTGAAGTAGTTGGGCTATGGGGATTTTGCAGTGTCCTTCCCCTGGAGTAGGGAGGGAATGGAGATTTTACAGTATCCTTCACCTGCCATGCCCACCAAGACACACCCACAGAACTGGTAGTACAATTTTTGAATCCCACCACTGGATTGCCTCCAGTCAGTAGCTTGTTCTCCTAAAGAATGAAAGGAATTGGAAAGAAAAGAAAAATCAAATGACTAACCTGTTATACGTTTTAAGGATGAGCAGAACTGTTGTAAATATTACTATGATGCCGACGACAATCGCTGCTACTATTGCCCCAGAGCCTAATGAGGAGAAAGAAAGAAAAACAGCAACATGTATGTGCAGGCTTTTAAATACACTTCAATTGCCAGCTTAGAATAAAATATAACTCCCATGTTCTAGGATATGTACAAAAATATCACTAAATTTTATCTTATTCTTAGCTGTTTTCTTAGAAGCATTAGCATTATTTATTATAGGTTTAATTAAGAGCCAAGTAGTCCTCGATTTATGGCCATTCATTTAATTAGTGTAATTAAGGCAGTGATGGCCTTAAAGGTTTTTGAGGGGAGAAGGGCCAGGGGAGAATGTCCTTGTGTCACCCATGGAAGACCTCCTTTTACAACTTTTTAGTAATTTTATTTATTTGTGCCTTTGAGTCAATGTCAATTCATGTCAACTGCCAGACGAACTCCTGCAAATATTTGGCAATATTTTGGAAGCACTTTGCCATTGCTTCCTTCTTAGGGCCGAGAGGCAGGCATTGCTCAAGGTCACCCAGCTGGCTTTGTGCCTAAGACAGGACTAGAACTCTCGGTCTTCAGGTTTGTAGCCTTAACCACTACACCCAAGTGTCTTTTTCCTGATAAATCAGTAACTTATCAGTTCGGACATATCTGATTTTGTTTTCTTAATGCCTGGTCTAATGACAATTCAGATATTGTGTATTATGATAACTGTATTTTTGAGGGTTTTGTTACGGATTAAAAAATGTATCATAAAAGGGAAGCGAACAAAAAGGGTTAAATTTTATTCCTCTCTGTATTGCTTAATTCCATTTTTATACACCACCAACTGACACCATAAACTAAAACTTATAGATATATTTTACTGAAATGAAACCTTTAACTCAGGGGTGGGATTCAAAATTTTTAACAACCGGTTCTCTGCCCGGTTGCTGGGTGGGCGTTGCCATGGTGGGCATGGCCTACTCAGCCTCCTGCACCACAGCGAGGCCCTCCAGAGGCCCGAAATGGGGCCCTTTCCTAACTTCTGGAACTGGAGGCCCATTTTTCATTCCCCTCCCCCTGGAGCCTTCATATGGGCCCTGCACTTACCTCCCATCAAAACAGGCTGCGTGAAGACTCCTGAGAGGGCGGGGCGGGTGGGTGAGGCCGGCTAGTCCTTGCAACTACTGGTTCAGTGAACCAGATGTAAAATTAGCATCCGCTTCGCCCAAACCAATCAGAACCGGCTGAATCCCACCCCTGCTTTAACTCCTTTAGGATTAAAAATATGTTCTAACTCCTACCAATACTCCCATATACACTGACAGGGTGAGCCACCTGTATATAAACAGAGAGCAAACCCGACTCCCTTCTAGCACTGATGTTCCTTAGTTGGGTAATGAAACATCTGCAAGAAAACAACCAAGCTCAGAGAACCCCAAGGATCCCACATGCGTATTTCCAATTAAGTTTCCAGTTGAAAGAATTTCTAATCCAGCTCTTCAGATCCCGTCATCTCTGCAGCAACTGGGACTTTGTCAGAGCAAATCCAAAGCTGTGTCATTCAGAGCCTGAAGATGTTTCTTTTTGGCCATTCACACCTTAGTGGTGAAAAGCCCATAAAATCTCCCAATGCCACCTTTGCCTTTTCTTACTCTGATAAAGGATTTGCTCTCGAGACTTTGTGGTCACATTCTTCCAAGGCAGGGAATATTCAGGCGTTGGGGCAGCTGTAGTCATCTTGATTCCAACTAGGCGCAAAAACAAAACAACATTAGAATCAGGGGTGGGCTGCTATGGGAGAACCCGTAACTAACGTTATGGTTGGTTCATAGAACCTCCAAATCCCATCCCTGGATGGCGAAGTGCTTATTTCAGGGGTCAAAAGAAAATAAGACCCTGTCTTATTTTCAGTAGTAGTAGTATAGTATAGCCTTTATAGTAATTGTACATGATGTATACAACAAAATTGGTTTTAGCCTCACTGGTGCAATACATGGCAAAAAATACAAACAACATAAATAGTATAAAGAATAATCCCTATGAAGGTACCGTATTTTTGGAGTATAAGACGCACCCAGTTTTCTAGTCTCTTTTTTGAGGGAAAAATACGGTAATTAGGAAAAAGAAAAAAAGAAAGAAAAAGAATCAATCGTGGTTCTACCCGCACAAAACCCTTTGCCAAGGTTTACCAGGGGCAAAATGGAATAAGTGATCATGATATATAGATAATAAACAGCAAGTGCTTTTTCAAACATGTTAGTTATCTAAAAACAACTTTATTCTCTATTTCCAGCTTCTGTGTTGTAATTGCAGGAAATTCATGCCAATTAGCAAATGTTGTCACATTTCCTACCTTAAATAGACAGGAGAGGTCTTGTTTAAAACTTGAAAATAAAAACAGCGGTTATCTGGCTCTTCCCATGGCTGAAGAAATGGTTAGAAAAATCACCGCTGGCTGTAAATGGCTGGTGAATGGAGCCCAGCACCTACTATGCATGTAATACGGAAACTTATAACTCTGCTCCATAATGCAACTTTGCTAAATGAAAATTTCGGTAGCACAAGTAAAAACTAACAGGGAACTTGAGCTCATTGCTGGCAACATGCCTCCCCCAGCACCACCACTGCCCCTTGCCCCACTGGTGTCTCTTGAGAGTTTTGCCCCAAGCTTTCAATGCTCTGAATTGCAAAGTTGTTTGCACTGTGTACTGCGGTCTCAGAGTTTCCAGCCAAAACGGGCAGCAGCAAACATGAAAATAACTGGATCTGAACCTATAACAGCCGTCATTCTCCTCCAAGTGAATGGTGCCTTTGTGGACCCAACGATGACCTACTTTTGTAACCCAATCATCTAATGTGGTCAGGGATCCTCTTTCTCCAACTTCTCCTTCTTTTTGTTGAAAGAATCTTGTTCCAAAGTTCTCCTTTGCAGCTCAACCAGCCCCTCCCTCCCTCTCTGTCTCTCAGCTGGCTATCAATTTCTAATGCAGGATCCTTTCACCATCCTAGGCATCATATCCATGCCCCCTAAAAGCCTCCATGGAACATCTCACTGCTGTTTCATGAGGCTATGAACGGTCAAAATGGAGTGGGGTGGGTGGGTTGTCCCTCTTTCGGGAGGGGGGGGCAGCAAAGCTGAGTCAATATTGTCTTAAAGCAGGGGTTAAGGGCCAAGCGACACACAAGCTAGAAGACATTTGCATTTTTAGAAGGCGTTTGCCTCTGGCTGTTCCTTTCAGCAGGGAGAGATTCTGCTAGCTATTATTTTGTCAACAGTGGTCCAAAAAAACCCTCTCCTCAATATTCTGCCCTTTGAACTGCAACAAAGATTTACAGATTTACAGATTAACAGAGTTGGAAGGGACCTTGTAGGTCATCTAATCCAACCCCCTATCCAAGCAGGAGACCCTACACCATTTCTGACCGATGGCAGTCCAGTCTCTTCTTGAAAGTCTCCAGTGATGAAGCTCCCATCACTTCTGAAGGCAACTTCTGTTCCACTGGATGATTGTTCTCACTGTTAGAAAATTTACCCTTACTTCCAGGTTGAATCTCTTCTTGATCAGCTTCCATTCATTATTCCTTGTCTAGCAAACGGGGTAAAATTCACTTAACAAATGTCTCACTTAATAACAGAAATTTTGGACTCAATTGTGTTCATAAGACAAGGACTACGTTTATAGTCTACTCTAATCCAATGTTTTAACAGTTTACAAATTGTGGCCACTCATCCAATATGGCTTGTGGATTAGAGCTACTCAACAACTTTCTTTTTCTCTATGCATATGACTGACCCCTAAACTAGACAAGCTTTGTATAACACACTACACACAAATGAGATTAGCTGGTTGGTCATTCAGGATGACATGCAAAAAGCATCAAAACGTGGCTTTTGAGTTTTTTTAAAAAAAATTCATTTCATATTAAAATATTGGACACCGTGCAACCATCCTGATATTATCTCTGCCATACACACTAAAATATAGCACAAATATAATATATACTCATCAAACCTTACTAATTATATACAATTATTCTGCCCATTATACTTATATTTACACATATTACATCACATTTCAGTTCTACAAATCCTGCTTATTTCCTGTTCCAACTTCCACATCTTAGTTCCACCCACTGGTAAAATCTATTCCATATATCATGTTATTCTGTCTCTCCTTTATTCTTTAATTCTAACGTCAATCTATCCATTTCAGCACAAATCAATATTTTCTTTATTATCTCTTTTTCTGAAGGTATATTTTCACTTTTCCATACCATTCTTGCTGCTGTTATAATATGTAATATTAAATATGTTGACCCTTTATATGACCTTCTGTTATAATTTCTAATAAAAATAATTCTGGTTTAGATTCTAATCTCTGTCCAACCATTTTTTCTAACCACATCTGAATCCGTCACCATGGCTTTCAAGATTTTGAAAGCAATGGAGATCATTCACAGGTAATCCTTGACATACAACTATTTGTTTAACAACCGTTTGAAGTTACAACAGCATTGGAAAAAAGTGGCTTACGGCTGGTCCTCACACTTACAGCGGTCACAGCATTCCCCATAGTCACATGATCAAAATGCAGGCACTTGGTAACCAGCATGTATTTAGGATAGTTGCAGTATCCTGGAGTCATGTGATCACCATTTGCAACCTTCCCAGCCATCTTTGGACAAGCAAAAATCAGTGGGGGGAAAGCTGGATTTGTTTAATGACTACATGATTCACTTAATGACTGCAGTAATTGGCTGAACCACTATTGCAAAAAAAAAGGTTATAAAATCAGGCGTGACTCATTTAATAACCTCCCTGCTTAACAGTAGACATTCTGATCCCAAATATGGTTGTAAGAGAAGACCATCTGTACCCTGGAACAATCCTGTTTCGGAGTAGCAGTTTTCCAACTATGTTCCTGCAGCCCAATTAATGTTACTGTTAGGCTTCCAAATTGCATCCAAAATTAAATCAGAGTCTGAGGCAAAGGATTCTCAAAGTTCCAATGTATTAAGAGAGCCATGTTGGCACATCTGGGAAAACCCGAATCTGAAAGCTTCCCGGTTTTCTCACCCAGGTGAAAGTTCAAGATCTTTTCCCCACACCCAGGAATGCATCACATGGTCCAATCTTACACTGTCATGCAGGCCGTTCCACCCATCCTGTTCCAGTCAGGTGCAGAGGTGCAAAGACAAAGGATGACCTTGGCTTTCTAGAAAGAATTTTGTTGTGGCTACATAACATCTAACTCCGTACAATC